AGGCTGAAACCGACCCCAAATACCAAGAAAACACCTCTACCGACGTAAATCTAAGAAAAGATTTTTGGTTTTATCTTTTTTTTTGTGAAGTCTTTTTGCTTTCTTGGCGATCGCTCTCCTTCTGATGCTAGACCGATGATAACCTTGAACTTTTTTGGGATTTTTTACTAACTATGTGAATCATTTTTGCTTGACTTGCTCCTTCTTCTTTGTTGTACGATACCTTTGTTATATATTGTTTGGTTGCTCTCTGGGTTTCTCTTGGTTTTTCTCTATCGTATATATAACCCCTCCGACGGGGTTGTTTTTGACTATAGTGAGATGGTGCAGTCCCGATATGTTGGGGATTTTGCACGTTTGCACTTCATTGTTGAACTTGATCAGAAAATCAGGGAAATATTTTCCTTTTGCTTCTATTTCACTTCGAAAATTTTGGCCAGTTGGTGGCCTTGTTGGTGCGTGACTTCCAAGCACTGTTGATTGGTGGTCTGGTGCATTTTCGACTGTTGGATCAAAAGGTCAGATCCAACGGCCCTGGTTGTGCAGCGCTGGTGTAAAACATTGGAACCTTAATCTGTCAGTCAGACTATTGGGCTTCATTTGTTGGGCTCCCATCTGGTTTGCTTACTGGATAGGTTAGCAGGCCCAATTGAGCTTCCTTATTGGACCTGATCTTTGGATTTTTTGACTCTTTGGAACTAAAGACAAAATCGAAAAAATAATATCAATATAATAATAAATAGTAGTATGTAATATATAATAAATATAATGTAACTATAACTAATATAATATAATACTATAATAATAATATAATCTACAATATACTATAATATATAATATAAGTATAATATTATACTTTAATATATATTATATAATATAAATATGTATAATATATATTACTATAATATGTATTATATAATATATATTTTATAATATATGATATATATAATATAATACTACTATATAATATATAATATCCCGAACGCAAATAGGTGTCTACAGCTGCCCCTCTTTGCCCATTATCGTGTAACTAGAATAGGGCAAAGATAAAAGAAATTGTTTTCGTTCATCGTGTATGGGCCTCTTATTCCAATATCCTCCATTGTGGAGTTGAAATTCGACTTAGAAGAATTCAGTTAGAAATGGCTCCCTGGTATTAAGTTGAATTATGGAAAATTCCTTCATCGTGAAGTTGAGTCAATCTTCAGATGTCTTAGAGCACAATATCCTTCCTCGTGAAGTTGAAACCGTCCCTTCTTCATGAAGTTGAGTCAAGGATGTTTCAAGCATGGTATCATTCACTATGAAGTTGAAATTTAGCTCGATGCCTGGGTTAGGCGGTAATTCCTCGCCGTTAAGTTAAGATAAACCGTAATTGATTTGAGTCTTCTACTAGTCCAATATCCTTTATTGTGAAGTGGAAATTTGACTTGATGACCTTAGTTGAGAAATAGTTCCTTTCCATTGAGTTGAACTATGTTGTAGATGACTCCTTCGATATCCTTCGTTGTGAATTTGAAATCGTGGGTCACTCCTTCTTAATGAAGTTGAGTCCAAAATTGAATGCTTTTCTGAGTTGAATGTCCTTCACTATGAAGTTGAAATCCAATTTGTATTGTTTTTAATCTTGAGTGTTCTTTGAGTTCAATATCCTTCATTGTGAAGTTGAAATTGACTCTGACAAAGATCTGCAAAATTGTACCCATGTGTGCAATGCTATATATGAAAAGTTCTTATATATGCCTAAAATGCATATGCAAAATATGTTATTTTAGGATTTTCTATCTGAGAGAGAAATCTCAATCTCTTTCTGTCAATCTTGATTTCTCTGGCGTTTCATGATTCTTGTCAATCTTTATTTTATGATTCTTGATTCGTGATTTTTTTATCCTCAACGGGCTTTGTACTGGTACCCTTTTGGGAATTTTTGTTTCAGAAAGAAGTCTTGATTTTGTTCTGTGAATTTGATTTTGATCTTTAATTGATGCCTTTTTTACTCCTCAATGAGTTTTGATCTAATATATGTGTCATTCTTTCGAGTATTGTGCAAGAACCTTTATATGCTTTCAAACACCTGTACTTCTCAGAAAATATTTGTGCAGTAATGCACAATTATCTTTTTCAAGGTGAATAAATCATTCTTATTCAAATTCAATTCAAGATTCTAAGAAATTGGTTTATCTTAGAAAAATGACCATATTTATTTATAAGGAAAAATTAAATTCATGACAAACATTTTAAAAAAGAAGATATTCGAAAAAGATAAATAGGTGCTCCAAATATTGATAATGTGGACGTCTTTGAACTAACACGTCGCTAGATGACTTTAAGAGTAGCTTTTGCCAAGGGGGCTTTAAAAATTGTGACAATGTTTGAAAGGGTGCAAAGCTCCTCCCAAATTATTAAGTCTCCGAGGACTTAGATGTCGTGATGCTTTATAGTCTTGATCCAAGACCTCCCCGTATGAATCCTAGATCATTACCCAAGCCACTCTTTCAAGTTTTCAACTTGGATCCTCCCTTGGTTTCAATATTCCCTTTGCGGTTTTCATCTTGGACCCATCTTTTATTTTTCTCTTTTTGGTTTTTCAATATAAAGTACCCTTTTGGGTTTTCACTCTAAACATTTTTTCAATCTTCGACTTAGGGATCCCTTTCAGGTTTTCACCCTAAACAAAATATATTTTGACTGTATCAGATTTAACTGGATTGGGTAGTTCGGGCCCGTCAATTTTGGTCAATATTAGTGCTCCTCCCGAGAAGGCCTTTTTCACGACATAATGCCCTTTTTAATTCGACATCCATTTTCCTCAGAATTGTTTTTGAATTAGCAAAATCCTTTTTAGCACGATATCTCCTTCATGGAATACTCTTGGGCACTCCTTCTTATTATGCACCCGAATCATTCGTTTTTGGTAGAGTTGACCATGGTGAATGGATTTCAACCTCTTCTCCTCTATTAACTTCAATTAATCATATCAAGTTTGCGCCCATTCTACGTCATCCAGCTTTACTTCTGAGAAAAATCAGAGTGATGGGATTTTCACCTTAATGGGAAATACAACCTTCATCCCAAATGCTAATAAAAATAGGGTTGCCCCAGTCAAGAAGTCTGCACCGAAGTTTGATAAGAAAACAAGACAAAGGGTAACTTTTTGTGTCAGTCTTTGTACGTCTCAATCATTTTCTCCATTATTTTCTTGATATTTTTGTTTGTTGTCTCTACCGCTCCATTCATCTTTGGTCGGTAAGCAGTAGAGTTGTGATGCTTTATGTTGAATTATTCACATGCAACATCCATCATTATGTTGTTTAAATTGGTTGCATTATAGATAATGATTCTTTCTGGTAAACTATACCGATATATGATCTCTTTTTTCAAGAATTTACAAATAGTGGACTCAGTGACATTAGCATATGATACAGCTTCCACCTATTTGGTAATGTAGTAAATTGCCACAAGGATGAATCGATGCCCGTTTGAAGATTTTGGATGGATTTGTCCGATAACATCCTGCCCACATAGAAAAAGGACATGGAACCGTCAGCACATGAACATGACAAGACAGGACATTTATTTTATCTCCATAGACTTGGAACTTATAACATCATCTGGTATAGTTGATGCAGTCACTTTCCAATGTGGACCAAAAATATCTATATCTCATAACTTATCTTGCCATCATATGACCATTTGTATGAGTTACACACACTCCGTCATGCACCTCTTCGAAGATCATCTTTGCCTCTTCTTCATCCATACATCTTAACAAGAATTGATCATAACTTTTATTGTATAAGACTTCTTCATCAAAAACATATCATGCTTCTATTCTTCTAATTTTTCTTTTGTCATTTTCAGTAGATCATTCTGGATAGCTTTGATTTTTGATGCACTGCAGAATGTCAAGGTACCATGGGTTCTTGTCTTTTACTTCTTCGATGTGATAATAATGAGTTGGGTACTCGTATGACTGCATGTTGATTGGCATCATGTTGAATTCCCCACCAACCTTAAATGTTGTTGACAAGGTAGCTAAGACATATGACACCTGATTCTCTTCTCTAGGCATGTAATGAAAAGTGACTTCATCAAACTCTTGAAGTAAATCCAAAATTAACTTTCTATACTCCACTAATTTGGTATCTTTTGTTTCCCATTCTCCTCAAATATGATAAACACTAAGATAGAATCCCCATACACCCTTAAAGTTTTATGTTTTGTCCAATAGCAACTCAAATCCCCAAAACACGGACTTTATATTCCGTTATGTTGTTAGTGCAATCAAAGTTCAACCTTCTAGTGAGAGGGTAATGGTTTCCTTTGGGTGAGACCAATATAGCCCCAATATCATACCCTAACGCATTCTATGCACCATTGAAGTGTACTTTCAAGGAATCACATGTGGAAATGTTTGCTCCTTCTAAAGATATAGCCATCAAGTCTTCATTTGGGAAGTCGAAGTCCAATGGTTCATAGCTTTCATAAGCTCTACTTGCTAAGAAGTTAAATAAGACACTTCTCTTTATAGCCTTTTGACTCATGCACTCAATGTTGAATTCTAATAATATCATCTGCCATCGGGTTAACCTTCTAGAGAGCGGGTACACCCATCATGAATTTTAGTGGAACTAACTTAGAAATTAACCAAATAGTATAGTATAGCATATATTGCCTGAGCCTTCGTGTAGCCCATACTAGAGTGCAATAAACTTTTCAATTGGTGGATATTTGACATCGATATCAGTAAACTTTTTGCTAAGGTAGTAAATAGCTCTTTCCTTTTCTCCCAGATTCATTATGTTGCCCTAGGACATATCCCATTGAATTCTCAAAGATTGATAGATATAAGAACAAAGGTTTGCCTGGAATATGAGACATTAAAATAGGGGTGTGAGACAAATACTACTTTATTTTCACGAATGCAAGTTGGCAATCATCATCCCATTTCCCATAATTATTCTTTCGAAAAAGAAGGAAAATTGGATCACACTTATCTATTAATTGAGATATGAACCGAGCAATGTAATTTTATCTACCCAGAAAACCTTGAAATTCTTTCTTTGTTCGTGGGAGAGGTAAACTTTGGATGGCTTTGCTTTGTTTGGATCAACCTCGATGTCTTTCCTGCTAACAACGAAGCCTAACAGCTTTCCAGATATTACTCCGAATATGTATTTGTTTGGATTCAACTTCAATTGGAACTTTCTCAGTCTTTGTAAGAGTTTCCTCAGATTCTCAATATGTTCATCTTTAGTTTGTTCTTTGACACTCATATCGTCAATATAGACTTCAATCTGTTTATGCAACATGTCTTGAAACAAGGCCACCATAGCCATTTGGTAAGTTGCCCCATCATTCTTTAATCTGAAGGGCATCACCTTGTAACAAAATATTCCCCACATTGTGATGAATGTAGTCGTCTCCATGTCATCTGGATGCATCTTAATCTGGTTGTATAATGAGAAACTGTCCATGAATGAGAAAAAAGAATTTTTGGCTATATTATCCATCAGAGTATCTATGTGCGGTAATGGAAAGTTGTCTTTAGGACTTGTTTTGTTGAGGTCTCGATAATCAACACACATGTGTACTTTTCCATCCTTCTTTGGTATCAGCACTATGTTAGCTACCCACTTTGGATACTTGGATACTTGAAGAAAACCAGCATCAAATTGCTTCTTGACTTCTTCTCTTATCTTAAGAAGCATTTCAGACCTTATTCTCCTTAGTTTTTGTTGTACGGGTTTGCACTCTAGCTTGATTTTTAGTTTTTAGACCACCATATCCGTGTCTAGTCCAAGTATATCTTGGTAAGACCATACAAACACGTCTTTGTACTCCTGAAGTAACTCTATCAAACTTTTTCCTTTCTTTAGACAAGAGTGTTGGGCCAGTTTTAACCTCCTTATTTTGTTCTTCAGTGTCCAAATTCAAAACCTCAATTTTCTCTTCATGGGACAAGATTTGGGTGTCTTCCCTTTCCACCATTCTTAATAATTCAGAACGTAAGTTGCACTCTTCTTCGTTATCACATTCATCGATTTCCCCTAGACAATTGAGCTTCTCAAAATCGATTTACAGGTCAAAATCATCATTATCCACATCATTAACATCTAAAAACCTGAAAGGAAAAGAGGGGAATATATATATATATGTGTGTGTGTGTGTGTGTGAGAGAGGAAAAATATCCCACATAGAACATAGAAACAAATATTATATATATATATATATATATGAAAAAAGAAGTGAAATGAAGAAATGTTTGCCAGGAAGCAAAATTGCATCTTTTATAGAAATATAAATAAAAACAGTTCATCAATCCTTACAAAAGATCACCTATTTCCCCGGGTATAGGCAAATAGGGAAAGTTTGAGTATTACTCTGACAGAGATTTGAAAACCACATGTAGTTCTTCAGCAGTCCAGTTGTTAAGCATGAACCTAAGAGGTAATGGACGGATTCCATTATATCAACATCCTAAGCATCATCCGTTGTTATAGCATTGATACTCAAGTTTTTTAGAGCTTTCTCTATATCATGTAAGGTCATCATTGTTTCTCCCTCAAAAAATTAACCACTAGACCTGAATATATTGTGAAGAGGTAGAAAAACCATTGGTTCCCATTGAATTTCTTCCCCAGTCAATCTTGCATTTCTTCTTTCTTGGCACTTCTAAATTTATTTCCTTCGTTGCTGATGACTGGGCTGATATCTAAGCCCAAATTGATCCAACTTGGCAATAGGAAAATAGGGTTGATTCTTTCTAATAGAGAACTCTCAAACCCTCTTCCTATCCTTGCACCTCTCCCCAATGTCTGCTTGATTTCCATCTTGGTGCATTATGAGAGTATAGGCTTGGAAAATTTTACCCCCTTCAGCCATAAAGGTGGCATTAACAAACTCTAGTGAGTGAAATGGACACTCCAGAGATTCCTCGTTCACATCTATTTAAGGGGCATCAGTGGACACGCTTGTCACTATGTCTTCCTCATCATTAATGATTATAAGAGACCCGTCAATAACAAATTTGACATTCTGATGAAGTGTTGATGGTACTGCCCCAGCTTGATGAATCCATGGCCTTCCTAAAATGTAGTTGTAAAAAGGCATAATGTCTATCACCAGGAACTCTATGTTGTACATTACAGGCCCAATGGTTAATGGTACTTCAATTTTGCCAAGTACCTCCATATTCGTTCCATAAAATGCTTGAACCACACTCTAGCATGCTCTTATGTGGTAAGTATCCATCGATAGCCTTTTAAGAGTGACCAAATGCATTACATTAAGGGTGGAACCATTGTCCATTAAGACACTTGGCAAAGCATGCCCTTTGCAATGAGTAGTGATGTGTAATGCTTTGGCCCGGCCCCTTCCTCCAGACGGAATCTCATCAACAGAAAATGAGATAAGGTTATCAGCTTGAACGTTGTTAACCATTTGATCCAGCTTATTTATTGGTATGTCCTTTGTTACAAATGTCTGATTTAAGACCTTCAATAGTGCCTCTCTGTGTGCTTTCGAACTCAGCATTAATGCCAACATTGAGATATGTGTTGGAAACTATGTAATTATTCCATAATGTTATATTCATTGGTCTTTAAAATCTTTAAGAACTCGACCGCTTCCTCCTCTTTTATTGGCTCGTTTACTATTGGTTCATCCTCTCTGAATGGGTCAAGTGTTCTCTAGGTTAAGTTAGAATTTTAGGAGTAGAACTTCCCAATAATATGCCCCACTTCATTTACATCGTCCTTCATAGAACTCACTTAGCATTCATACTTCCAAGGTACTTATTTGTTGTCATTATAAGGGAAAGCTCATGATGCTATTATCACTACTTTTTTTGGTGTCCTATCTTCTATCTTCTCTTTAAGAGTGATTATCAAACAGAAATCTGTGCCATATCTCTTATCAAATGAATCTCCAGTCGCAAAAACATCTGCTTATGGAGCGTCATTACTTTCCTCGTAGAATTCCAGCTCTTTCATGTCCATCGTTAGCTGGATTAAAGACCTAAATTCAGAATATTCTTTCATATCATATTCGTCTTCATTGTAATAACAACAATGATTACCACCTTCGTATTCTGATATGCTATGATGCGGTGCAAGAAATCATACCTTTACCATTTGCTTCCATACTCAAGCTATGGTCTTGACTTTCTGGCTTTTTTCCATGATGATTGCATTAACCTCGTTTTCTTGGTAATTAGTCAGAGTGTTTTGTTCAACATTAGGTGACTGAATTATTGAAATTAATCTAGTTCTTATTGCGCATTCCTTGGACAATCCTCTTAAAAGTGAAGCAGTTCTCAATAGTATGACCCAGGACACCACCATGATATTCACAGTGTGCATTCTCATCATACCGCCTGGGGTATGGGGGTTTTAGAGGTTCTACTGGGTATGGTGACACTACATGTGTAACACCCCCAGCCTATACTATTGAAAACATTTTGATATTTCGATATAACAAATTAAGTTAAATGAATTTTAAGATTTTCCAAAAATATTTTCTAAGTATATTCGATATAATTATTCGAATATCAAAATAATACTCCAAATCTTTCAAATGTCATTTTTAATCCTTACTCAAGTGTAAAATTAAGTTTTAATCTTAAAATAATTTCAAAACGATTTTACAAAATATTTCGAACCATCTCAAAACCAAAAATTCCAGATTTCTCATAGGGAACCGATTCCCCCCCAAGGGGGTACCGATTCCCCCTGAATTGTTTGGCTCCGAGAATTCTAGTATGCTCAGAGGGAAACGATTCCCCCCCCAGGTGGTACCGATTCCCCCTGTTTAACGGTCGAAATATTTGAATTTTACACTTAGGGAACCGATTCCCCTTAAGGGGTACCGATTCCCCCCACGCCCCAAACTGTTTTATTAATTGATTTCACACTAAAACGGCTATATTATCTTCATTAATGATCCCCAACGTTCAAAAGTGATTCAAGGTGTATTTAAGCAAGCTTAGAAGCCATTGATCAATAACAAGAAACATCAAGTAACTAGAATCAAGAGAGAATCAAAGAGAAAGCATCAAACCTCAAGTTTGAGCATTTCAAGCCTATTTTTCATTCAATATTCATTTTGCTTTCAAGAACACTTATTGTGCTCAGTTGTATTCATTCTTGAGTGTTCTTTTCTTTGTTCTAGAATTGTACAAACAATCTACCTTGTGAGGATTTCCTTGTAAGTTTGCAAATTTGTATTGTTCTCTTTGGGAGAGAGTGTTCTCAAGAATTTGGGGTATAATTCTTGAGGGTTTTTAAGGTTACTCTTTGTCCTCAAAAGAAAGACAAATTAGTGAATTTGTAGAAATCCTTAGTGTGGATAGCTAAGGTAGTGGATGTATACTTTGGTTGAGAAAGTCGAACCACTCTAAATCGTTGTGCAATTTCTTTCAATTTTCTGCAAAAGCTTCCACCAAAATTTTTATTACCAATTCACCCCCTCTTGGCCGATTCCGTCAATCGATTAACTCAATAATTGGCATCAGTGCATAACTCATTTGAAGGTTTAATCGCCTCTTGAGTCGATTCGGGAAGAGTTATATCGATAATCAAAGTCATCAATGGCTTCTACTTCAAACTTCGACTCCGGTCTCGATTCGATACCCGTCAACAAGCCTCTTTTCTTCAATGGGGCTAATTATGCCTATTGGAAAAATAGGATGATGTACTTCATTCATGCAAGTGACATGGGAGCATGGAATGTCGCAGAAGAATGATACTCCAAGCCTCTCACTCATCCAAGATTATGGAGTGAAGGAGAGATAAAAATGTTCCAGCTCAACTCTAAAGTCATCCATATCATATTTTGTTCTCTTGGACCAGATGAATACGGAAGAGTTTCATCTTGTACAACCGCCAAAGAAATATGGGACAAACTTCAAGTCACTCATGAAGGTATCGATGAGGTAAAAGAAATCTAAAATTAGTATTCTAACGCATAGCTATGAAAATTTCAGGATGAAACCAAATGAAGATATCAAAGCTATGATGGATAGATTTTGAACGATTGTCAATGGTCTCAAATCATATGGAGAGATCATTTCAAACGAAAAGCTTGTGAGGAAGTTATTCTACTCCCTCCCAAAATCGTGGCAATCAAAGAAGACGGCAATCATCGAGTCTAAGGATCTAACATCCTTAACTCTTGAAGAGCTAATCGGTTCACTCCTCACTCATGAAATGATGCTTGAAGATGAGGTGGACCTTGATAAGATTGAAGAGACACCAAAGGAAAAGGAGAAGAAGAAAAACATTGGAGTTGCTCTCAAATCCACAAAAAATAAGAGTGATTCGGATGACGATGACGATGACGAGGAAATGGCATTGTTTTCCAAACGGTTCAGAAAAATGATGAGACCTTACCGAGGAAGAAAATTCAAACGAAATGAAGGCCTCAAAAATGAACCAAAAGATAAGGACCCGATCATTTGCTATGAATGCAAAAAGCTGGGGCATGTCAAATATGATTGCCCACAACTGAAGAGAAATGGTCAATCAAAGAATAAGCACAAGGCTCATGTGGCTACATGGAGCGATGAAGAAGGTCCAATGAAGAGGAACAAGAAGTAGCAAACTTGTGCTTGATGGCATTCGGGGGAGATTCTAAGGTAACCTCTAACTCATCTGATTTTAATGATTTATCCTATGATGAGTTATTAGAGGAATATAATGGGTTGGCTACGGATTATGAGAAATTGTTTTTAAAATATAAAAAAGATGTTTCAAAATTGAAAAATGAAAATAAACTCATATCTAAAACCAACAACGATCTTGAAAGTAAAATCAAAGTTTTGCAAATCAAACTAGAAGAGTTTTGAAAAGAAAAAATTGGATTTGCAAAATTTACTTTCAAAGGTCAATGATGATCATCAAAAGAAATTTGATGATCTTAAAACTTCTTTTGATAAAGTTGGAACAAAACGTTTTGAAAATGGAGAAAATTCAAAATCCAACTTTGTTAGA